TCCCCCTGCCCCATTGAAGAAGCAGGATATGAATCCATCCTTGCTTTCTTGGGGACAGAAGGTGATGCACTATTGTCCACAGCAGTATAGGCTTGACTTTTCCCAGCACCCATAGTCACAACTTTTTCAACTTCATAAAAGAAATCATATATTTGCTTTCCCAGCACTCCTTCAGCTGAAGGAGGGATTTTCTCAACATCTATGCAACCAAGAAGAATTCTAGCATACTCTGGTTTATGCACAGTCGATTCACCCACTTCTAATGTAATCCCCACTAGAGCCCCAGCATAAGCCACATGTTCAGTGCACCTTTTCTCTATGGGAATGTTGCGCACCCTAACCCATGCTTTTTCCAGCATGCCTTTAGCTCCAATCAAAGCGGTCCAAGGAGTAATGCAGACCACAATATTCCCCTCTTTCAACGGCAAGCGTTTCCCATAACAGCAAGCTCTCTCTACTTCACTAGCATTAGGAAATCGCATCACATATTGAGCAGGGCCAATAGAGCGAGCAGTACAACGCCATTTCTTTTTCCCAGGTTTTTTTGGCAAATATAGCATTAAATTCCTGCTCAATATCTTTAACAGTAGCATCCCCTTCAACTACAGTAATCACCACATTATTGGTTTTTTCCACACTATGCTTAGCTGCACACATATCAGGTATATAAAGAAACCCTGACCAGGAGATTGAAAACCACACATGAAGGGGATACACTCCCAAGGCCTCATAACTTGGCAAAGTTGAGCCATATGACCTAATTTGTTGCACTTATCGCAGAGAATGGTAGGGCAACGAGGAGCGAAATGACCTAGGAGGGAGCAATTGATGCAGAGCTCGGTGTTGCCCTTAGTCGCCGCTTGCCCAGGTGTAGGTGGTGGAGGCGGTTCCTTGGCGCCCGCCATCTTCTCCTTGCTCGCACCACTCATGGCCCGAGCAGCAGCTTCCCATCTGTCCGCAACTTCGCCACCACCAGATCTCGAATCTCCCAACGTCGCCGGTGGCGGATCCGGCCGCTGCCATACCATATGACGAGACTGGTTTGGCAGCGGAGCCTTGCGACCGCCGCCGAATCCACCCCGCGCAGTGATGTCGCGCCATCCGCCAGATCTCCCCCCGCCACGGTCACCCATCACGGTGCGCGGCACGCTCCCTGCTCGCTCAGCCCCAGCAACTTGGGCGAAGGATCGAACGTCGCCGCCGGCCTTGCCCCGCCACCAGCCAAAGGAATCAGGAGGGGATGGATTGGGGAGGCAAACCCTAGGACGCTCCCATAGGTGCTTGAAGAGAGGGGTGAGATGTGCGTCTCGCGTAGTGGGGGTAGGTGGGGAAAGTGAAGCAGCTCCCCTCGCCTCCTCCGCACTAGAAGGCTCCACGCCTGATCCGATGCTGGGTCCCGCATGGCGGTCAGGTGGCCATGGAGATGCTCCCACGCGTCCTGCCGCCATTAGCGGATGGTTGGTGAGGTACGGGGCCACCCCGGGCCGGTCCACACCCACCTGCATCTTCGTATGCCCCCCGTGCACCGCGCCATGGAACGTGCCATGCGTAGTGTCCACCGGGGACACGCACGTCTCCGGAGATCGCGCCCGAATCCTCGCAAAGTGACATGGCAGCGAGACAATGTCGCCAATGTCGATGAGTTCCCCCGCCCGGAGAAAACGCGCATCCACCGTGACTCCACGGTCATCGATCAGAATAAGACCGAGAGCATCCCGCCGGAGAACCAGCTCGCCGTCATAAAACGTGAGCGAGCGCAGCTGCAGATAGGCGGCGTACAATACGTGCCATCTCTCATCAGGTGCGTCGCCCTGTGTGTCGCGTGAGCACGACGCGCGGTGTGTCATTTTTTCATGGTCTCATGTGCTGTTCATGTACACGTGCTAGCTGTCTTAGGGCGGGCAACCGCAGCCTGTTGCCACGTAGAGGCGACAAATATCGAAATCATCAAATCATCAAAGCTAGCGTATGTGACAGTGAGCCTTGCTGCAATCGTGTTCTCTCCGACGTACGCTGTACGTAGCGGCCACGGCGGGGCAGCCATGGCCTCCACACATACATCTCTCAGCAAGTCTCGGTGACTGACCGCCGGCCTGACCGGCGACTTCAGATTCTAAACTGCCGGTCGTTGCACGGCCTGTCAGTTCCCGAGTTATAACCACTGGTATATACATGTACTATATCTAATCTGCTATGAAGTATGAACACACACCACATGCTACATTATTGACGTCCAGTGACCTCCGGCCGTCGTGCAGTGCAGGCCATGGCATCCACGAAGACGAATCAGCCCAGAATCCGTCCAACGAAGGATGACTTCGATCTTGACCAGCAAATATGATTGGTGAGTGGTGAGTGGTGACTCGCGTCTGTGCCCACACATCTGCCATGGTGCCTCATCTATCCACACATCCACACAGCTCTGCTCTACGTTCGTGCACATGCCTTTTTAAGAGCATCTCCCGACGTAGCACCGGGAAAATATACACACTCTTTCATAGCACGTCGCAACCGATCACCACCACCACCATGGCTCGCTCACCTGCCGAGTTCGTCTTGCTCCTTATGGCAGCGGCAATTTGGAGCTTCTTCCTTGTCGCCGGCGCAGGGCAGCTCCAGCCGAGCTGCATAGGCCGCGAGAGGGACGCATTGCTGGCCTTCAAGCAAGGCATCAGCGACGACCCCAAGGACTACCTTGGGTCGTGGCGACAAGAGCGCCAAGATTGCTGCCAATGGGCAGGCATCACCTGCGACAACGTAACCGGCCATGTCGTCAAGCTTGACCTTGGCCAAGGAAATTATTTGGCCGGCCAGATAAGTCCTTCCTTGCTCTCTCTAGAGCATCTCGAGTACCTCAATCTCTGGGGCACGGGACTGTGTGGGCCTGGTGGTCGTGTTCCAGAGTTCTTGGGTTCCTTAAAGAACTTGAAGTATCTTGATCTGTCCGGCATGTCTTTCTCTGGTATGGTGCCTCCTCAGTTTGGCAACCTGTCAAAGCTAGAATACCTCGACCTATCCCGCATACATTTCAACAATACGCAGATGGTCTTAACAGACATCTCATGGTTAACCCGTCTACCTCTGTTGGCGCAACTTGATATGAGTCTTATCAACCTCAGCTCAATAGCCGATTGGCCTCTTGTTGTGAACAAGATTCCATCTTTGAAGTTGCTCCGTCTTGTTGAGTGCTCGCTTTCAAGTGCAAACCAATCCCTCACACACCTAAACCTCACAAATCTTCATAACCTTGATCTCTCCTTTAACCACTTTGGTCATCCAATCGCCTCTGGTTGGTTTTGGAACTTAACAAGCATCAAGGACCTCAGCCTTGATAGTAACTATCTGTATGGTCCATTTCCTGATGCACTCGCAAATATGACATCCCTCCAATGGTTAGATTTGCAAAACATGGGTAACAAAGCCACAATGACAGTGGACTTGAAAAAACTATGTGATTTGGAGGAGCTATGGCTTGATGGAAGCCTCTCCTCTGGAAACATAACAGAGTTTCTAGATAAATTGCCACAATGTCCGTCCAACAAATTGCAGTACTTGTACTTGAGCAGCAACAATATGGCTGGAATTCTTTCCAACAGAATGGGGCACTTAACCAACCTATTTTGGTTCGACATTTCTTACAATAACATTACTGGAGCTATACCGCTAGGCATTGGGAATCTCTCTTGTTTACAAAGCCTTGTTCTTTCTAACAATTTTCTTACTGGTGCTATACCGCTAGGCATCGGGAATCTCTCTTCTTTAGAAGCTGTTTATCTTTCTAACAATTTTCTTACTGGTGCTATACCGCTAGGCATCGGGAATCTCTCTTCTTTAGAAGTTCTTTATCTTTCTAACAACCTTCTTACTGGAGCTATACCGCTAGAGTTGGAAAATTGCACTTATGTCTATCTCTCAAATAACAATTTTAGTGGACCTATACAACTAGGGATAGAGCACTGCACTATATTAGAAGAACTTGACCTTTCTGACAACAATATTGCTGGAGTTATACCGCCATGGTTGGGGAATTGCACTAGTTTGAGGCACCTTTCTCTTTCTAATAACCTTCTCACTGGACATGTCCCATCTAAGATCACTTTGCTTGGCAATTTAACTGAACTCGCCCTTAGCAACAACAATCTAGATGGTGTGATCACGGAGGAACACCTAGTTACTCTAAAGAACTTAGAACACCTTGATCTATCACACAATTCTTTCTCAGGTCCTCTGCCATTAGAGTTTGGAGTGTACAAATTAGTAGAATTGACATTATCCTCCAATTACTTCAGTGGGCATATTCCTATATCTGTTTGTACGTTGAGGAACCTACTTGTCTTGGATTTATCAGACAACCTTTTAGTGGGTGAACTTCCTCGATGTTCTCAAGAGCCTAACCTGGTTTTCCTCCTCTTAAGTCACAACCGTCTTTCTGGCAAGTTACCATCATCACTGAAGAACTATAAGAGTCTAGCTTTCATGGATCTTTCAGCAAATAATTTCCATGGAACATTGCCATCATGGATTGGAGACTTAGTATATTTGCGCTTTTTGCAACTAAGTCAAAATTTCTTTTGTGGGGATATTCCGTTGACTATCACAAATCTTAAACGCCTTCGTCAGCTCAGTTTAGCAGGAAACAATATATCTGGTGTTATACCCTGGTCATTGTCAAATTTAACAGCAATGACCCAAAAACATACAAAGAGACCTGGGGTCGACATGTTTGTATGGTACACCGGCTATGTGGGTAAATTTGGAGAAGTTTGGCCCATTGTGATGAAGCGCCAAGAACTTAAGTATGGTAAAGGAATTTTTAATGTGGTTGGTATGGATCTATCACTCAACTACCTAACAGGTGAAATTCCTGATGGGATAACCTCTCTTAATGGATTGTTGAATCTAAACTTCTCATGGAACCAATTAAGTGAAAAAATTCCTGGGAAGATTGGAGCCATGAAATCACTTGAATCATTGGACCTGTCAAGGAACAGCCTTTCTGGTGAAATCCCAACAAGCTTGGCAGACTTGACTTATTTAAGCTCCTTGGACTTGTCATATAACAATCTTACAGGAAGAATTCCAGTGGGGCGCCAACTTGACACCCTCTACTTGGAGAACCAGTCCATATACATGGGCAACATTGGTCTGTGTGGCCCTCCTCTTGAAAGGAATTGCTCGGGAAACAATGCACCGGAGCATGACAATCAACAGAAAATTGAGAAGGTTTCTGAACCTGTGTTGTTCTTTTACTTTGGACTTGGATCTGGGTTGGTGGCTGGCCTTTGGGTTGTGTTTTGCACCCTACTGTTCAAGAAAGTTTGGAGGGTTGCATATTTCCGCCTCTTTGACAAGTCGTATGACAAGGCATATGTGTTTGTGGTTGTTACTTGGGGCAGGATAAACCGAGAGCGGATAGAAACTTAAGTGTGACAACCAATAAGGTAATGCAAATCAGGTGATGTATTTTCACCCTATACTGAATCTGGACTAAATAGAGGTACCGAAGCATTTGGCAGCTTATGCTAGTATGTGTTCTTTTCTCTCTAGTAGACTTGTAAACTTTGGTCTAATGCATGTAACTGTTACATTGGGTTGTACTTATGGGTCATGATGAACCTGCATGGATTTAATTTCCCAGCTCTTGTTCCTTTCGTGTTAATGGTTTGTAGTGTGTAAATGAATGTTTTGTGAGTCTGCTAGAATGTTAAGCTTTTCAGTGATGCTTGTTCATACATTTCCCAGAGCTTATCAACTACTTATTGAACTAGCACAAGCACATTCTACATTATCTAACCATACTTGTCAATGTCGAGTAGACAGAGTGGCTGAAAATAAATGATTCCTTTTTTTCTTTTGTATTAAATTAGAACTGCACATCAATAACTGAAACCGATTCTTGCAATGGTGATTACTGAAAAAAAGAACATATTTTTTCAAATTCTAGATGTAGCAAGCAGTGTAACCACAAGAATTTGACGCAAGCAGTGGAACCACTCAACATATAAGGGAGTCTTGTTTTCTAAACCCCAAGAGAAAAAGGTCTCGGTCGCAAATAGCAATTGCACTGTAGGATACAGGATACATAGGAGTATCGGCACCAGCTACATACCATCATAATTCCTAGTTAATTAATTCAGTACAAATTAAAATAAGGGCGGTCAAAACTCATATCAGTCACTCATGGAAATGCACCTAACCACCGCTCTGCCGTGAGGCCACCCACGTCAGTCACCGAGGATGTGGACACCATCCAAAAGATTCCCAATATCTTTCTTCTTCATTCTATTTTTCATGGACAAATGAACATAGGTCAGGATGGGGAAATTAAGGGTCAAGATTTCAAAGGAATAGCAAAGACAAGTGCAATGGCACGTAAAAAAAAATCCCTCTAAAATCGAAGAACTGGATTTGTTTCCATTTTACAGTTTGCAACCCAGTTAAACAAATCCCAGATCATAGTGGGACAGACTCCATGCAGACACAAATTACCGACTTTAAATTGAATTATTCACTTGTCACATACATGGAAAATTTCACAGTGATATGTCTGCATCGATAATCACACGTAAGAGATATATGATCCACTAAGCAAAAAAATGTAATATATTTGCTTGAAAACAGATATGGAACATTCGTTCCACTATACATGCATCTACCTTCTAGGATAATGACCATGTTTATAATTTTGAGCATATAATTTTTAGTTTTGCAATTAAGAACACCTGATAATTTGAAAAACAATGATAAAGCCGAATGAGATGTCCATTCTAAAATACAAAACAAATCATCTCCTTAGCACCACTATAGGTTGCTATTATCAGACTATATGTGGGAAAGAACAATTTCAGAGCATGTCTTCTGGTGCCAGCACAAGCTTTAGCAAAAGTAAGCCATGGAGAAATATTCCATGATCTGATACTTCGGGGCATGTCTAGCAGACGATAACGAATGCCACCAACAATAAGACTTTCAATTTTGTATCAAGTCTCGAGTCAACAAAAGTATTACTAGCATCGCTAACATAGTATATTAGGCGATACAGAGTTAAATTTGGAGTCATCCGAGTACCAAGTAGCAGTAGGGAAGTAAATGGTAATTGGGTTCGTAGAAGATTATTTTCCTTAGGTGCCCATCACATTAGTCCAATTGAGGGGGTCTTCTGTAATCTTTTGGAATCCAAGAAACAAACCTCTATCCTTTTCTAACATACCTCTTTAATTTCTCTTATTTATCCACAACATCTTTCTCAACTAACCAATCACGCACCCCCAATGACGTGCAAGGGACACCCTTATCCTCTAATGCAACACCTGCATTACGGGAGTGTGTCCCCTTTTGACACCTTATGTTATGAGTTTATGACCACAGGACCCAGGTGTATTTTAATAATCTTAGCAGAAGCATTCTAAAATGCCGCTTGGCAAGCAAGTTAAAATGAACTAAGGAATCAATCATATAACTAACACCACTCTGCAGCTATACCAAACAGTATGATGGAAGATGCACACGGCAAAATAACATGACCTCAACAAGAGGGCAAACCTTCTAGGATCAAACTTCATTGTAGGGAACGTGGGAGAACAGCTCATCATAAAAGGATGAAAAGTACCCAAACATCCATCCTCTTCTGGCAACTCGTACACTTGACACAATGTCCTGCACTTGATATCCAGATAGAGCACGAATGGAGTCATCCAAAAGAAAACAAACTGACCAGTATTTTGATCAATTCCGTCGGCCCCCGTCCCTCCCGAGCCGCCCCCCGCGTGGGCGACCGGGAGGCCCCAGATCCCATCGCCGCCGAACCTCCCCCACTCCTCCTCCTCCCTCGCCGCCGCCCAAGGGCACGGCCAGGCGAAGCCTAGCCGTCGCCGGCGGCGACGGGGACTCGGGCCCTCTCGCTCGGGTGGGGCTGGAGCGGGCCGGCGCCGCCGGGCCGGAGCATGCCGGCGGGCCGGGCACCATGGCGGGCGGAGGTGGCGCCTCAGCGACGTCGATTCCTCGCGGCAGGAGGCCTTGCGATCTGGTACGTCGCGGCCGCCAGGGACGGCGGCGGCATGTCTGGATCGGTTCACGGCGGCGCGGCCGGATTGCTGGTCGGCCGTCGGCACGGTGGTGGGTGTGACTCGTGGGCAGTTGGGCAGATCCGCGGGATTCTACCCTTGTCTGGCCCTTGACAGCGCGGGCAACTATGGGGGAAACCCTAGATCTCCTTGGGATCTAGCGATGGCGGCGCTTTTGCGTCGTAGTCCCTCTTTAGGGCATTGTTTTGAAGTTTGCTCCGGTTGAAGGGACCAGCGACGTCGGCGGCGCACGTCTGGTGGAGCAACTGCCGATGAAAATCGCGCCGACTACGGTCATGGCAGACAATGGCGGCGTCTTAGATGTCGTTCCCTTGTCGAGGCATCGTCGTTGCAATCTGCGTCATCAGGCTCGGGATGCTCCGGGGGAAACCCTAGATCTGGGTCTTCCAGATCGGACGGTGATTATTTCCATCCTGTGGGCATCGTTTTGGAGTAAGTGCTGGCTGGGCGGATGGTGGAGCGGTACTTCATCTCACACATCAATGGCGGCGGATATCGGCGGCATGGCGCCGTGGAGGCTCGGCGTCCGATGCATGGAGATGGACTCGCGCAGGAGAAGGTTACTGTCTGGCGTCATGGTGACGTCGATGGTAGAGTGGCCAGACAAGGTAGAAGCCTCAATATGATCTGAAGACGGACCTATGGAAGATGGCGGCGACGACACACGAGTGCGTCTGACCGGATTGTGCCCTAGACCCAGTATGTGGCTCGGCTGGGGCTTCCGGCTTTTGATGTTAGGTTTAGGTGAGTGGTTTGGGTAGTGGCCCAGCTAGCACCCCTTCATCTTTTTGGATAGGAGCAGCGGCATGTGTTGCCAAGATGATGGATTCAGGCACATTGTTGTAATACTTTGTAAGGTCCTCGAGAATAATCAATAAAGTGGTCGTATGCATCTCCCAGATGCAGAGGCCCGGGGGTCATCCTCCTTTTCTTAAAAAAAAGAACACAAACTCAGCATTGTCCCCCACGTGGACTATCATATCAAAAATATGCTTAACCTCAACCATGCAACCTGACATCCTCAAACTAGTAACCATGTCGTGCAAACAAATGGTGTCCACTAGTAACCAATTGCCCCCTTGTGGAGCCAGCCATGAAGGTGAGCTCCTTCAACTTCAAATCAATGCGATATATAACAAAAGCATCATTGGCTCGTGAGAACATGGTGTTTAAATTGTTTAGCTGCACACCTTGTGGTAACTGAATTGTCGACAAACTTGATGCTGTCACATCCAAGACAAAAATGCTGCTCAGGACAGACGGGATATAGATTTTATTGCTCGCAAACATGTACGGGTTCTCTATCCAAATGAAGAGAAGAGGTATATATGTGTCGTGGGCGACGTATACATATGCTAGGCACCATCTTGCAACACATATACACACACGGACGCACGGCACAATGGAAGTATTTGTCACCATGGCAAACTCCATCGACACATATAAGTAGGACAAGCCATCGCCTTCTTTGTGGAAGACCACACCCTGAGAGAAACTACGAAGTCCCGGTATTGGAGGTGTGCGAATGGTGGGACATCGACCATGCCTCTACTAGGGCAAAGCGGACCCCTACTCCATCTCCATTGCGCCTTCGGTGGCGTAATTCGGTGAAGACGATGTCGTTACAACAGTTTCGGAGGTAACTGAATTGTGGTTGCCGACACCGTCGAAGTTGTAGTTGGCCACTGTTAGGATGATGGCAACAAGCTCCGCGGGCAGCGGCATCGGGATGATTCAGGCATTACGATAGAAGCCGAGGAGGATGTAGCTCTTGGAAACAGCAGAGGAAGGCATGAGTGGAGGCGTGGTGCAGCCAACGCCCGCAGATGGAGCAGACACAAACAAGGGCTGTGGGGGAGCCGACACAAAGGAGTATTTCGATGAGGAGGTTGTCGTCGAGCACCTTGGATACAGCAGCTGCCGCTGCCGGTGGGGAATGCATGTGCATCGCCATGCGCACACGCTTTCTTCTTGAGCTCGTCCATGGAGAATCGGCAACCACAAATAAATAAAATGCAAATGGACGTCAACACAATAGACTGATTGATTCATACTGCAAATGCAGGAATCCAACCACGACAGACAGCTAAATGCAGCAGAGCATATAGAAATTACAAACTGGACGAACTGAAATTTGGAGGAGTATCGAAGAGATAGAGAGAGAGACTGGATCTTAGTTACCATTCGGGAATCTCGGCATCAAAGATCCCGGTCTAACTATTAAGGCCCATTGTGTGAGCGCCAAGCGATGTCAAATGTTATCAGCAGTGGCACATAATCTCTGTTTTTTTTTTGACATATATGAACAATTTTTCTTCTATACATGTCAATTTTCTCTTT